GCAAACTGTGGTAAAGAATAAGTAAAAGCACTCCTTAAGGTGGATAATAGTTTTTATTTTTATTTCATTATTATTATAAGTATCATTATTACTATCATTAATATCAATGTAATTATTATCATTCATTAGTATCGCCACCATTATCATTACTATTATCGTTACCATCATTAATCATTATTATTTTTATTATTATTGTCATTATTATTAAAATCAACATCATCTTTAATGAAAAATAGGGCGAATATAGCCTCTCAAGACTCAGGCAACAATACAACTGGGCGAACGAAACGATAAACGTTTGAAACCGATTTACGGGCTACTTCCAACAGTAATTTAGTATTAAGCTTTTAAAATAGACTTCAGACAATAATTCCCCATCTCTTTGCAGACTGCACGGATGTCTCTCCAAGTTGCCCTCTGTGGGCGATTCTTGGAGAATGTGAATTCAATCGATCATGGATGCTGCAAAACTGCAGAAAGAGTTGCAATCAATGCGGAGGTGAGACACACAACTGGTCATTAAAGCAATACTACGATTATCAATGGAGCCGTGAGATGTGGTAAAAGTTTGGTGACGGGGTTTTGGTCAATGGGAACGGAGCCAGTTACCCATGACAACGATACGATTTTAACGTTAAAGTGCGGTTGCCAAAACTTCCGTCGCAACTCATTCAACTGAAAATCGCAGTAACAGCGATGTTATTACACTTAAATTTAAAAGACCGCTACCTGTATACGTATCGATATTCATTTGCCGTCTAGAGCTAGGGTTTTTCATTAATAATGCTTTTGACTTTAGTAGATGGCTTGAAACAAAGAATCTCTGTTTTCTGTTCTTTAAGATTGTGAAGATACAGACGCAAAGTGCCCATCTTGGGCTTTACTAAAACAGTGCAAGTCTGGGGGCAGAATATCTTGGATGAACACAAACTGCCGGAAGAGCTGTGGGTTGTGTAGAGGTAAGACCTTGTTGCAGAAACGCAGCAATTTTCAAATGAAATTCGAAAAAAACCTGTTAATTGTTTCTTTTTTTGCCATTTAAATTGTGATTTGTCATTGATAGTGTAGACTAGCACCATATTTTAAATCAATCAAATTTAAAAGAACGGCAATCGTGACCAAGTCGCCGGTGTTTCCCGCGCTTCTAGGCGTTTACTTGTTCTTCTAGCTTATTTTTGATGTTTTAGTTTTCACTCATCCGCTGTTATGACTACTTTAGTTCAATTGATTCGAGATAGGATCCAGCTTTGGGTTTTAATTGAATAAGGAATAAGCCTTTTGGTAGTTTTGTTTATTTTGGTTTTTTTTTCATATTTCCACACGAACTAAAATTCTAACGCACAAGAGGATTACCTTCTGTCAATCACTATTTACCCGGCTATCGGATTCAAACAGAGTTGAGGATACGTCACAAGATTTTGACTCTCTTAAGTTATGCTTCTAGACTCAATTTACTCAATTTTCTCTGTTCAGTTTATGACAAACACGAGGAGTGTCCCGCCTGGTTTGCGATGGAGGAATGTAAAAAATCGAACTGGACCTGGATGGTGGATCATTGTCCACGAAGTTGTAACATTCCTTGTAAGTCAGGGATATAACACCCGAATGAAGTAATGCTGTGAACATATATCTACGCCCATTTTATTAAGCACGTTACGCAAAATTACTCCTTAACTTTTCGTTAGAGAAGTGGAAGTGTTTCTACTTGTCGCTAGCTGAAGTGCGCGCAAGAGATCATTTATTTGTTTCCGCCATTTAAAAGTATATAGGATAAAACACTGAGTGCAATTTGAGAGTCGAAAGGAGAAACGTAGTTTTTCCTTGGAATCTAAAAAATCCAGCGAGTAGTAAATTGTATCTCTACTATTATATGAGCATTCTTGGGAATAGATAGAGCGTTTTTGGGAATGATCCTCAAAAGAGGAACCATAAGTACCTAGTATGATCAATGGACGCTCTCAGCAGTCAAGAGAAACTTGACTACAAAAGAACACTGCATGCATTTACATGTAGTTTAACGTAACTACGACGAATAGCGTCAGGAATTCGATGCAGTACAAGTAGTTGTACTGTGAAATGTTGAAGAAGCTTAGAAACAATGGAAATGTGGTAATGGACCCTTCGGGGGTCCACTTTGGGCCATGTACTCTACCAACCCGATGTGCTTCTTCGCGTCTTTTTCATTCCAAGCATCTTTAAGTTTCAGAAGCCTCGTTTTGCGGTGGAAAAGAAAACGGTAACTACCAGGCCCCCACCACGTGCCAAGCATACATTGCATGTTCACATGGCGTCACGAGTCACGTGCAATGTCCCTCAGGGAAGAAATTTGACAAAGTCAAGAGAATATGTGAGCAAGAGGCTCAAGCCACCTGTTCTGTGGTTTGCCCGGAAAGTTTTTTAAATTGAACAAACACAGAAAGGAGGGACAAAACTAAAAGGTCAATACCTATCGTATATTGACAAGAAAATATTTCATGTGAAACAGTTATCAGCTTTGTTGCCTGAATGAAATTATTAGCTTCACCAATGAACCACATTAAACTACACCAAACTCGAAATTTCTATGTATTCTTCTTTTATTTGAAATTTAAATTATGTTAACTCTCGTTATAGTGGACACCTTTGTCACCTTCTGCGCACTTCCTCAATAATGCTAAATCCGCACATTTCGGTCCTTTGTCTTGGCAAACTGTGGTAAAGAATAAGTAAAAGCAAACACTCAACGACCCATGTCTTCTTAAATCAAGCAGCCAACATGAGCGAATGAAATCCCCGACGAAGCAAGCTGAAGGCTTTCAAATCTTTCGTTTCTACATCGCAGGAAATTTCGTCATTGTACAATGATGAAAAGTGAAGCCGAAATCGTTGAAACATTGAATTTTATATTTTATGGCACCTTCAAGTAAACTGAACACTATAATCTTCAGGCGACTTCCTCGTAACGCGTTTCTTTAGCTTTCTGGAATCATGCATGTCTGTCCGTGGTGTCTGAGGGGTATGGATGAGTAGCGACAATCCTGAGAAACCTGACAAAATGCTGAACACCTTATCCAGACGAAAAAGTAAGTATTTTTTATCCATTCAAGCTTTAACTTGCAAGCGGCTATTATCATTGGCGCTTCCCTGCGAGGGTTTCTTTTCCCGCGGGAAAATATGTGACGTTGAGTAACGCGAGCCGGTAAGAGGTCTAAAAGGGGTCTGGGATTGATGATTATTGGTGCCAGATTCCTGGCGATCCAGCCTCTCCCCGACGCATGTCAAATCTTCCACCGGGAGGAAAACCTCGCGTCAGGCAGCGCTAATAATGTGGAAACAAGTAAATCGCGATTGGGTGGTGTTATTACTTCAAGCCTTAACACTCACCACCACAATGATTACAGCTTTTCTTACAGTTGACTTGCATCCATATTCGGTCTCTTGTGCACTCGCCAGCCAACGCCCAGAAGGGACATTTGATGCTGTTATCTTTACATTCTAAAGTCACAAACGGGAAAATAAGGATATAGCAACCTTCCCTCTCAACTTAGGCTGCAACAGGACATAAGGCCCCATACAAAGACAGTTTGCTTAACGTTATTGTAAACATCTTACGGAACTGATATCTCTTCCACTTTTTTAAAATAGCACCCAACAATGATTTACAAAGTAACAGATGATCAAACAAATAAATAATAACTACCTGAAATGAGTGATGGCTTTTTGAAATGAGTAAGAACAATAAATGGGTTATGCCAGGATATTTCCCTTCCCTTTCTTTAAACCAAAAACTATCGTCGGTTTGACGAAAAACCACAACATGTATACAGGGAAAACAGCACTAACTTGAAGAATGTTAATGAGGCAAAACTGGGATAAAGGCTGTTATGGATGAGAAAGATTAATTCGTATTTCAAACTAAAAATTTGGTTAATGTGGCCTGCACAAACCCTGGGTTGGTTACATCAAATAACAATTAATAATGGTAATAGAACCGAGTAGGGTCCAATTCGGTCTTTGATCATACGATGAAATAACCAAGCGGGAGTTTGATTTGCCAATCACGAGAATAGTTATAGACCTTACAATCCAACTGTGCTTCGTAGAGTACAAATAACGCTCAAAACGAGTACAAATATCTCGCGGTATTTGTACTCCAGAGAACCAGTTAGACAGGTTTTCTCGCATCGCGCAAGCGACGAATTGGATTGAAGTTACAAAAAAAAAATGGTGGACAATTCAAATAATTTTTCTGACGACGAAGAGTCGGAATGGGTTGCGAATATTGATCCAAGTTTAATAGATAAATCAAACGAAGAAAAGCAGTTAGACGACAATGAAATTTCATGATACCTTTGGGTTGTGGGATATCCATAACTTTCTTGCAAGTTGCACAACAGTGCTTTTTCATCAACCTGGCCTTGTATTTACATTTTCCCATGGCTGACCACAAAGTGCATAAGGGATTCACATTCTTGCAATCTTGGACAAGAAAAAGTTATTTAGGTTCTTTGACACGCCAACAGTTTCGTTGGAGCGCGATGAAAGAAAACAGTACGACAGAACTGTAAAGGGGAATTTATGAAACCAAGTTATTTTAAGACCGACAAGCCTGGTGAAGTTCAGTTTTAAAGGGTCTTTTCCACGACTGGATTACACACAGACATTTCCATTATCAACAACACAATACTTACTAGTTACCGACCCATGTCTGGAGTGTTCATCTAGTAAGGCGACGAGTTTATCGAGAACTCCTTTCAATTGGTCTGCCCTTCCAACGGTCACGTTTGTGAAACTCCGAGCTAGCGTGACTTGCCGACCACTGGTCACGTTAGGAGCATTAACGTGGCCAATACTCAGAGTTACGTTGGTGCTTTTGTTGGATGTCACAACTGACGCCGCAACAGCCGGTTTTGATTCAGTGGCATTAGAGGATAATGTCACGGTAGAGCCTTTTCCAAGTGTTTTCGCATCTGGTATCGTGGCAGGAAGATAGGCGGGATGCATTTTAGTTCCGGCCACGA